TTTTTATATATATATATATATATATATATATATATATATATATATATATAATTGCTCGGTAAGGTTATTGTTAAAAGTGTACAAATTTGTATCATATTAGCCAAATTTTCTTGTAAATTTGTGTTATCTATATTAGTCAAATTTTCTTGTAAATTTGTACTATCTATATTAGCCAAATTTTCATGTAAATGTGTATTATTCATATTAGCCAAATTTTCACGTAAATTTGTATTATCTATATTAACCAAACTTTCTTGTAAATTTGTACTACCTATTATATATTAGTCAAATTTTCTTATAAATGTGTACTATATATATTAGCCAAATTTTCATATAAATTTTCATATAAATTTGTATTATCCATATTAGCCAAAGCTCTACAAGAAAATTTGGCTTGTGCCAGTCTGTTCTGTCGAACGCTGTAAAGTAATTAAATTCTACTGACCCACAACTGCGAGTTTCGATGCAATACAATAACGATAACTATTGGTTGCACAGTCCAAATATAGATGAACCGCAAGTTTCGGCAGTGACTGCAGGTTTTGGTGGCGCTTTGACTACAGCCTTAGATATGATGGCGTTCGCACACGATATTGACTTGTCCACTGCTACCGAAGGGATACCGACCAATGTTGATGCCAAACAAATGAAACCCAAAGTTTCGAACGATGAACAAATAAATTCTACGTTGAATATGCCGTCGACGAATGTCCAATCTGCGGAGCAGAAACTTATCGTTATTACGAATGAACAACAAATTCATAGCGCCGAAGTTTCTTTGAACAAGAAACCAGCTGAACCTGCCATTCGTGAAATGAATCTGAAAAATTCCGATCGTAAGTAAATTTAATTAATGTGGAAAGTTATTAGTGAACTATGGACTCTGCGTAAACAAAATTTAACTGTGAGATTTTAGTCTAATGGCTCAAGTTATCTGAAAGCGTTAATTCTCATTTATATAAGGAATTAGACGCTCTTCAAGTTAATTTCATATTATTGTTAATTCAATTTTTTAATAAATTGAGTGACAAAATTATTGAAATTTAATATATAAAAAAGTTATTTGGAAGCGTTAATTTTCATTTATATAAGGAATTAGAAGCTCTTCAAGTTTGTTTCATATTATTGTTAATTAAATTTTGTAATAAAAATACTACAACGAATCCTCTGGAATTCAATGCGTCCAAAGGGTTTATTAATTAACAATCTTAAAACGCTTAAATAATATTATTCAAAACATTACGTTCAATTGTATTTTTTCTTGTGATTTTGTTCATCTTTACAAAGTATCCCAGTCAATAAAGACATTGATATATCAGAATTATTGACAAACAGAGTTAAATAGATAAGAAATGCTGTCATACTTTCTAAGAATTAGTCGTAATTGCGTTCAACGTGTTCGTGCTTGAAGGTAAGAAACGTATATCGTGTAAATTATTGAAGATATGCATCTACGTCTATTAAATATAATCTTTATACCAATTAATGAAGGTAGAGCGGAAATTCTAAAAAGCATTTAACCAAAAACATACTTACCCGAATGCCTGGGATCCTATTAATGATATACAAATAATTTATATTGCAACATTGTAACTCTTTGAATTCTATTCGTTTAAAAAGTTTTTAAAGTTTTCAGATAAATAAATTAATCTGTATCAAGTTATACCTTATCTGTGTTCTACACTTTTTTCGTTTCTGTACAAATGCTAATTAATCAATTACAATTTAGACCATGATTAGCAATTATTAATTAAAACATTCAGCGTCTTTAGCTTCTAATATTATTCCAATCTAGCATTATAGATCGTTAATTTCACTATTACACGAACAAAGTATAATAATATACACTCAAAAATTGTTATTTAAATATTGCTTAAATATTATTTAATTAAACAACGATTAGCAACCATTAATTAAAACATTCAACTTCTTTAGCCTCTGGTATTACTCCAAACTAATATTACAAATCGTTAATTTCACTATTACACGAACAAAGTATAATAATATAAACACAAAAATATTTGAATATTATTTAAATATCGTGTGATTACATATTACTTAAATAAATGTCGATACCTCTCACGCGATATAATAGTAATTTCGAAGTGAAACTTCTCTTTATTATTATCTGCACTTCGTCAAGCATTAAAACCCTTATCTTACATTTATTTTTGTAAAAAACTGTAATAATTATAGTGATCCCGGATGAGCCCCCAAGTTTATAGTGGGGCTACTATTATTATAGATATTGAAAATGTGGATCTTCAGTAAAAAGAGAATTAGGAAACAATATATGTATATGTATTTAATGAGATAAAGAAACAATATGGATAACACGTAAAAATACAACTTAATACCACCAAGGGCAACACACGACTCTCTATCAGGCACAAAAATGTTCTTCTCCGCTGTCTCTCACCAAAATGTCCTTCTCGCAGTCATTCCCAATCGCTTTTAACACACACCCCCATTCGCTCTGTCTTTCTCACCCTTGCACCCTTCTCACTCGCATCTTTCGTCCATAGTCAAAATTCACGCAGTCACGTACACGCTTTTCTCACAGTCCAGTCGCTCAGTTCCAGACACTCTTCCTCGCATTCTTTCAGCCACTCGAGATTTTCTAAACGCAGTCACACTATTTTTCCAATCATCCCGGCGCCGGTCCGTCGCAATACGACCTGGTCGCCCTTACGCACGCACAATAAGCCATTCATCCTACAATACTTTAATCTACGCTAAATATTCTAGATACTACATAATATAAACACAAAAATTATGTTATTTAAATATCGTGTGATTACATATCGTTTAAATAAATGTCGACAGTTCTCACGGGACATAATAGTAATTTCGAAGAGAAACTTCTCTTTATTATTATCATACACTTCGTCAAGCATTGAAACCCTTATCTTACATTTCTTTTTGGAGACGTCCTATTTTCAGTGATTCACGCTATGTAACCCTGCACTTCTATATACCCAGTGAATGAATACACCTACCACTCAGTAATGTATTCCTTATTTTAACAAGCACTGTTCCCGTCGTACGCGAATCATGCATATTTTTCTATCTTTATCTTTGTCCTAGATCCACCTGCTGAAGAGATTCAGGATCCGCTATTGGATCTTGTGATTGCCTCCGAAAGTACAACTGATAATGAAATCCTGATGAAAATAGCTCGATGCGCAGCGGCGAGTGTCGACGTGCCGGCGGATTCGAAATTGAATCTGCAAATTTTGGAACAGTTCACTATGATCAAAATACCCGTGGAGGAACAACTCACTGCCACCAAGAAACAGTATTTCATTGAGTCGAGCGACAATGATTTCGCCGGTAATAATCAATCTGATTTTATTCTTTGCGTCGCGATTGAAAATTCAATTCGAATTAATATATGAATTAATAAGCTGATGATCATTTTTGTTCGTGATATTTCTATTAATTTTATTAATGATGTTCATTAATCATACTTTTAGTGATATTTGCTAATAAAATTAATAAAGATATCACGAATAAAGATTATTACCCCTGCACAAGAAAAGGACAATGAAAATTCAATTGGTAGTTCTATCTTTCTCGCGGAAAGCAGGAAACAAAACAAAAAATATAAATTAACAACGATATATTGTTACTATACTAGTAAACAGCACCACATTCAAACTAAAAAATTCAAATTCTCATTTCTCGGAATACTTCACAACTCTCAATTCCCCAAAATGACAATATCCACCCAAAAAATTTGGAAAAATCTCTCTAGAACGTGTGCAATTAACCAAGTCTAACCCAAAATAACCCAACACTCCCATTTTTGAATTGAAACTCACAAAATACGTTCTCTCCGAAAATTATTAATCGTATAAAACACGTCGACTACTAAATACTTAACACTAGATTTACTGTCATTTATGAGTTCCTCCATTTAGATCTGAAAAATCAAATGTTTAAAAATCTATTATCACAAACCACAATCGCCTACTTGAATCAATCAAAATGCACCGAAACAAATGCCAAATAATGTTTATAAAATTCAATATAAATCGAATTGGCTCGTTCCGTGAATCTAGCATTAAACAGAGTAATTGATCGCTTATTTAGAGTAGAGATCCATTTATTAGAATTATCGAGTTTCCCAATTAATTCCGTTAATGGAGGTTTTGCGAGTGTAACGAAGTTACTTAGTTTCCCTGCGAAGTAGGGGGCGGGATTGAAAGATTTTCGTGCGAACGTATTTACGGGAATTTATGGTCCCGCGATAGGCGACAACCTGCTCGGAACCGAGGCTCGATTACGCAGAATAAGATCAGCGAACAACAGATTTATCACGACGCGGAGACGTTCACGGCACGGCGACGGTGATCTGTCATCGTCGTCTTCCACGTCTGCGGACGGAAATTCTCGATACCAGCCGTTGCTCGACGATCCCGAAGAGAAACTGACGAACCGTCAAATTGAAGGTCCTGACGGGCCCGGCGAAATAATTAAGCCGGAGATAAAGCAGAACGGAACGTGCAATTCGTCGAAGAACAAAGCTCAGAAACGACGACCGAAAACAGCTAGAAACAGGTAAGGGCATTCGAAACTTTCCTTAGCAGCAGAAAAATATTGGTTTTACAATAGAACTACCGAGCATTTAATACGATTGATATGTAATCTCTATAAAAATTGTAACAATAGATTATTTTCAGTTTCTTTGGATACCCATCATAGTACTCGAGTGAAACTATTTATTTTCAAAATCATTTCGGATATTCAATAATTTGAAGACATCAATAATTGCGAAACAGAAAAACTGAAACCGGTTATTTTGACTGGTACGGTAGTTCTAGTGTTAACCCCTTGGCCTATGATATCTTTCTAAACTCCGATCGATACGGCTACTTTGTCATTTATAATTTATTGGAAAAAGAGAAAAGTTCTAAGCATGTGTTATGCCTATATTTCGTTTTAAGTATAACAGTTGATTACAGAGGAATAATATTTACTTCGAATTCGAATGAACTGAGTAATATACACATTTGTTGAATCATGTTGATAATGTCATTCATCACAAGGGGTTAACCCCTTGGCCTACAATATCGTGTCAGACTCGTGATGAAGATTTTAAATAGAATTTGACAAACATCAATATTATATAACCCTCTATGGGCCAAATTTTTGTTCATGATTATCACAAAATCTGTGCAGTACAAAATTAATAAATATCCATATATGAATACAAATTAAGAATGTATTCAATAGTTTGAATAATTACATCAAACAAATATATTTTGTAACTTTCAAATTACAATGACGTTAAACTTTCACGCCTGAGCGTACATAAGTTGAAGTTAACTGATCACATTATTTTATTCACCACTTCCATTGCAAAATGAAATAAACCAACAAGATGCCAATATACAAGTTACACGAGCCTGCGGAGGGTTAATTTGTTTGAATGCAAATTACATATTATTCCTGTGCTATCGATTATTATATTTTAGAGCACATGTTTGCACAGAAGAAGACTGGAATTTTCTCTTATTTTCAATAAACTATTAATTACAAAGTAGTTAGATCGATCAGAGTGTTCAGAAAGAATTCGTGGGGCAAGGGGTTAACACTAAAACTACCGGATGGGTCAAAATGACTTATTTCTGATTTCTTCTTTTACAATGATTGAAAAGGTACAGATATTTCCGGAAAAAATAATTAATGAAACTAATTCGGTAATGGCAGAGCTGAGATACAAGTCAATTGAAAGAAGTTTGTAAAAATCAGTTTAAGCGATGGGTAATTTTAGTGTTGAGATTATTTTTCCATTATTTGGAGAATATTTTTGAAGCTACAGTTTTTAATATGAAATATTAGATCTAAATGTTGTATATATGTATAAGAAATGCAAAATGAACGTTGAAAAAGTATCAAATAATATTGAACGCTCTAATAAGATGCAAATGACATTTTCTGAAATTGACTTTTGATGAGAAATTGTATGTTCATTGTGGAAGGAAACTATTTTTAATATTTTGCTGGGTGAAATCAATTTGTAAGCGAGAGACTCTGGAGTGTAAAGGTTTAATTATTATTAATGGAAACTCTGAATGTCGTGTGTAATGTTATTTATTCTCTCATAACAAAGGCAACTAGCATTAGATTTAATTATTAATTATTTGAATTTAATTATTAAATATTTATGATGATAGATGGTTTTATTCGAGGTTAATTTTCTTGATGTAATAATTGTTTTCAAGCAATTTAGAGATTTTTACTAAACAATTTATTTTGAGAAAGTATGAGAATCAAAGTTTCTCTAAAACCAGTGCATTTTTGCTAAGGCATTGCGATTTATAAAGTACCGCCTGAATATTTACAAAATATTCCCTAAATATTGTAGGAGAAAGAGGATTTTATTAGAAACAGTATAATTATTTCTTGACAACTCACAATAAAACACTAACTAAATCAAACAACGCACACACTACTTATACACTCAGATGCTCTTGTTTCACACGCACACTTTCTAGAACATTCTTTCATTACCATGCATTAACTTCACATATATTTGGAATATTCTAGATTCATAAAAAAAAACGAACACTATTAACATATGGAGAAAATCAATATAATCTAGAATATTCCAATGCTTTGAACATTCATTCGAAACGCGCTCACACACACAGTCGTGTCATTCATCTATTGCACACACATTCATCACTCGTCAATATATCTATTCACACACTCAAATACATCCATTCCCACAATAAATATTTATAAAATATTCCCTAAATATTTACAAAATAGCATCCAAATATTAACAAAATGTCACTCAAATATGTACAAAACATCACGCAAAAATTTATAAAATACCACCTCATGATCACAAAACAACAGCATCGGCAACCGTAATAAAAAGCGTGCGCTTAAACACAGTCTACGTCCCAAGCAACATTGTAACAACAATTGAGCCTGTTCTCAGTGTTAAATAAATTTCCCTTCGATGCACGCGAAAACACTGGTTCAAAAAGGAGAAAACAGAAGCTTACGCAATTTTCTGTTCCGGGTCGGGCAGGTAATTACAGTATAACGGTCGAGTTACTACGTACCGTTGCATTCGTGGTAAGTCACGACGCGACACACGGTTTCTGGAATACCATCGTAGCATAATATCAACAATCGATTGTGTGTCGACACGCTGGGGCCGACGAGCACGCAATACTGGAACATAGATTTCCTATTTAGATTTGTTGATGTTTTCCTGCTTCACTTTTCCTTCGGCTGCAAGCTTCTGTGAGCAGTCTTTCTCCATCAGAACTGACTTTATAACACTTCAATTTACGGAACGAGTCGATTTCCCTTTTATCGAAATTTGCAAACATTATTTGCTGAACGGTTCGATTGATTTTTATCGATCTAATCGTCTTTAACTCGTTATGGACGAAGATTCTTTGAAATGTGCGAAATCTTCGTCAGCTGAAGCTAAATTATATATGTATGAATTGCTTGAGTAATGGAAAACAAGGAAAGTAACTGCTGATCTCTAGCTTAGATTGTTTGATGCTAAATCGTTAAATGGAATTCAATCAGAATTTATAATTAAATCTTTCGTTTACGATTTAGTAGCCCAAATATGAGAATTTCATCTCGATAAACTATATATGAATTGCTTGGATAACAGAAAAAAGGTAGCTGATCTCTAGAGTAAATCCTTCAACAGAATATTATTAATTCGAATCAAATTTACAAAAATCAGGAAATACCAACAAATCGACCTAACCCCATTGACTCCCGAGTGATTCAATTACCCTGTTACATAAACGCTACAAAGAAATCAAATACTTCATTTTGCAACTTCATTTCATTTCGATTGCCATCCACATTTCAACCTTTTGCACTCGAAAGTTATTCACTAGAAATATCCAACATTTTCCAGTGAAATATAGTCGATATTCTTTGAAACTAACTAATAATATTCGAATATTCCATGTACTGATGCATTACTACAAAGCTGAAAGTTATACCTATATAAAACCTCATAACTCTGTTATATCGAATCAAATGGCATCTAAGAATCACCCATCGGCTACAAAGGGTTAACCCTTTGCGCTCGAGAGGTGATTCGATATAACAAAATTATCAAGTATGATATATAATATTACCACTAGAACTACCAAATCAACCAAAAGTACTTCTTCCTTGATTTTTCTTTTGCAATTACTGAAGAGGTGCAAACACCTCTTTAACACTATTCCTACCGACACTCCACGTACACCTATTCCTACCGCGACCAGTCAAATTATTGGTCTTTAGCACAACTTATGTATTTTAATATAGAATGAAGATAATAGACAATTTGACAATATACAAATATAGTTTCTTTTATTTAAAAGTATATAATTTACATTTTATTCGTTTTCACCGCATTTTTTATAAATAAGTTTGTCGATCGTACATTTCCCACACACGTACTTTTTACATTTTAGACAGATTTTGTTAGTCTTATTGTTTGTGCAATATTTTATTTGGCATCGTTTCCGTTCGGGTGAACCTTTACTTGTATTTGTGACGAGTGTTGCTTGATTTTCTTTGCCTAACTCTAGTTCTTTTTGATATTCAATGGCAATTTCTTCTGCCAATTGAAATAAAAATTCATGCATTTATCCCGGCTAAATCTAGGTTATTGAAAAATACCTGTGAATGCCATCTCCGACATTTAGATTTTACCGATTTTACCGAGGCCGATAGGCGAGCGAGAACTGTAAACACTTGGAAGTACCGTAAAGCAGTCCTTGAAAAGTACTTTCTGGCTAACATCATGCCACAACTGCATTACCTTTCGTTTGTAACGACTTTATAGTATCGGAATTGAGTCTTTGAGAGAATACTATTACAGAAAGATATAAATCGTTCTACCGGTCAAATGATCGGTCGCGGTAGGTAAGACAGACTACAAATTTTTCTCAGAAAATAAACAATAAAAAAAGGAGTGAATATTGAAAAATTTTTTATACATATATTTTAGGAAAAGTCGTGAAGTATAAAGGCGATTCAACTACGTTGTCTATAGGAAATTCTAATCGAAATTTTAAAAACAGTCATTTGACTGCTCGAGGTAGGAATAGTGTTAAGAAATTCATTAAACAATATCTAAGCTGAATTTAATTCAGTTCATATCTGAATAAATCCACGTTTGTAGTCTTCATAATGAAATTTTCGAAAGTCAGTTTAAGTGTTCGGTAGTTCTACCGTTAATTTTTCTAATGCACCAATAAATGAAATATTTCTATAAATTAGCTTGGTTCCTTAACACTAAACCTACCAGACGGGTCAAAATGACTTATTCCTGATTTCTTATTTTTGCAATTGTTAAAGATAGAACAGATATTGCATGATAAATAATTCAAGAATTTTTTTCATTAGAATTCAGTTTGCGTATTGTTATATCAATTAAAGTCTCTATAAGTGCAATCTTGAAGTTGCCATAGAGAAATTTCAAAAAGTTGATTTAACTTCTCAGTGGATTGACTGTTAAATCACGCACGTTCTCTCATTAGTTCATTTCTCATTCATAATGTCGTCTATGTCTC